TTTATAAAATTGTTAGGTAAGTACATAAAATCGGAAAAATTATTTATTAGGTATTTAGTAAATATTTTTTATTTTATTAATATTTTTATATTTTATTTTTTTAAGTTTCATGTCATGTTTTAATTGAGTTATTAATGACCCTTTTTGTGTAAGTAGGGAAGCAAGAGGCATATTGTTACAATTTTTATAAAAACAAATATACTATTATAATATATACCTATAACAAAATATATGGATGGTATTAAGAAATCACTCGATCTTAATAAGTTAATTTAATCACTTAAAGCAAGTCTCGTTAAAAAAATTTAATAGCTAAATACCTATTTAGTGAATTAAATAAATTTCCGCGGTTATCACCAAGGACCGGATTTTAGGCAAAATGCCTTTTTGTTTCTATATTAGGCATTTTTTGGGACCTTGAAATTAATCCTAAACTTAAAAAAATAAAGCGTTTGACACCCCTTTGTTTTTGCCTAAAAGCCTAAAATGGCAAAATTTTGATTTATTGTCTTAAAAGGACCTAAAATAGTCTTTTAATTTTTCAGTAAAAAAAAATATTTTTCATTGCGGAAAAGTAAATTATTTTTAATTAGACCCTGCTTTCATGCTCTTATTTTATCTAGACACCCTTGGCGAGTAGGAGGCCACAAATTACAAAACTATAGTGAAAACTAGTGAAAACCTTTATTTATTATAAATAATTATGGATAATATTAAGTTTGTAAAATAATGATTGAAAATTATTATTTACTTTGTTTTCGTAAGTTTTACTGTAATTTCCATATAGATATGTATTACCATATATATATGTATTACCATATATATATGGTAATTTCAGACTTTTTAACAGTTTTTAGTAATATAATTTGTCCCAATCTATGGCATAATTAAATAACTCTTCACAATTTACAGGTGGTAAATAGTTTTTCTATAAAAACAATAGATGGCTAAAGCCAACTTTGACAACCGTTGCAATCACACAATCAAATATTGGCAAAAGATTTGCTTTAAATTTTACAAGTAAGGTTTTCCTTTTCTTTATTCATACGGGCAATTGTTTGCAAGAGTTTGTGTTATTATTTTTATTATGTATTTTATATTAAGAAATACCTAGATATGTATTTTTTGTTTTATTTTTATTAATAGGGCCTGAATAAATGTTATGTTTAATCGTGTTGTTTTTATTTCATATCGCCTATTTTAGGCGGTTGAGGCCTATTTTAGGCACTTTCGGCCTAAAATGTACGTTTTTATTGCCTATTTATGTGTCCTAATTTCCAATTTTTAAGGGCCTAAAATCCGGTCTTTGGTTATCACCATAGTGGTTATAGACTATAACCACTATGGTGATAACCGCGCAAATTTATTTATAAATTATAGTAGTTAACTATCACTAATTTAACAATTATAAATTTTGTATTAATACTGAAGGATTGAAACGTTGGTAATGATTATTTATAAATATCTATTAAAATAGCTTTAAGTATGATGTGTGCAAAATGAAATATTCGTATAATAAGAATAATAATATTCTCAAAAATTTCGTGTATATGTAGGTATAGCTCTTAATTTGTAGGTAGGTATATCTTAATGCTCCGCATCGCACTTTTCGATTTTCCATAAGAATGACAAAAGTAAAAAAACTTTTTCCTTCTTATTTTTGTAACTATATATACACAATTTACTATGAAATTTATGTATGCTCGGCTACCTATAATATGAGCTATATCTCGAGCCCAACTTAAGCGTCGGCACAGGTTTCAATTACCCTCTTTACTCTTATAATTACAGTGTACTTTGTATTAAATGTCTTTAAATGCTATGCATATATGCATCTCTTATAAGAGGACGCTTTATTAATCGAAAAATAATTTATATAATTTGCACGAGCCGCGGGGCTAGTTTTTTTGCAATGAATTATTTAAAATCGGACTATTCGGCGTATATTATACGAGGTGTGTTCAGAAAATAAGGGGAATTGTTAAATTTCGCGGATTCGGAGGGTCCGGTCCGGTTGTTCTTTATTATGTTGGTATACCATAAATATATATGCCCCCGAAGTATGATAAAAACTTTAGCTGTTTTCATTGTTTACTTTGTCTGTGGCAGCCGCTAACGTTAGACGTGTTTTATGAGCTCTGCGATTTTTCGTTTGTTAAAAGAAATGGATAAAAGAATTTGTATCCAATTTTGGTTAAAAAATTAAATAAATTCTGTGAAATGTTAACAAAGGCCTATAGTGAGTCTGCTATAAGTAAAACAAGAGTTTACAAGTGGTATAAGAGTTTCCAAGATGGCCGTGAAGACGTTGAAGATGACGAACGCCCCGAAAGCACAAGCACATTAACAACCGATAAAAACATGGAAAAAGTGGAAGAAATGGTTATAAACCATCAGAGAAGTCGCTGATGATGTTGGTATATCGATTGGCTCATCCCATGAAATTTTATCAAATGTTTCGGGTATGAAACGCGTGGCAGCAAAATTTGTTCCAAAATTGTTAAATTTTGAACAACATTTTTGGCCAAAAACAATACTGTAATGATGCTCCAGCCTCCATATTCGCCAGAAATGCCTCTGTCTGACTTTTTTCTATTCCCAAAAATAAAGAGAACCTTAAAGGGCCGTCGTTTTGCAAGCCTAGATGACATTAAAAGCGCATCGCTGAAAGAACTAAAGGCTATCCCAAAGATCGAGTTTTAGAAGTGTTTCGAGTATTGAAAGAAGATCTGGCACGTGTGCATAATATCCAATGGGGACTATTTTGAAGGCGACAACATTAATGTAGACGAATAAATAAATATTTGTTTCAAAAAACGAAAATTCCCGATATTTTCTGAAAAAATATTATAAATAATTCGTACTTAATTTGAGAAATAAATAATAAAATAACTAGTAAGTTTATATAAATTTATAAATGAAATCATATCTAGTATACTTAGGTATTTTTAACGGCAATATATGATATGATATAAAACATTAACATTAAATCACTATAATCACTATAATTAATTAATTAAGTTTGATTTCATCCGTCAGTTATATTACTCTAATAGTACGTAATATTATAAATAATTTATCTAGAATATAAGTATAAAAAATATATATATATATAATATACCTATAGGTATACCTATATATATTTATAAATAAATAATAAAATAACTTTAAATGGAATCATATCTACCTACTTAGGTATTTTTAACGGCAATATATGATATGATATAAAACATTAACACTTTGTATTATTAAATGAAAGGGGTGTTTTTGAAATATAGGTAAAATATAAAAAACTGTAGTGTTGCAAAAAAATTGTTTTTGCAATCATTTTAAAATATTTATTTTTATTGTCCTATATTTTAAGTAGGTAATGTCGGATGTCTTTAAAGAATATTTATTTAGAAATGTTTATTAAGAAAAGTTACGATATTTAAACGTATTCTTAATTTTTATTGGTGATACCTATATGTTAAAAGAAAATTGGATTCCTTATACCTATAGTAAAAAATAATAGTTTTTTTTTATTACAACAGTATATTAAAATACTTATTTTTATTATCCTATATTTTAAGTAGGTAATGTCTTTAAAGAATATATAGAAATGTTTATTAAGAAAAGTTACGTTATTTAAACTTATTCTTAATTTTTATTGGTGATACCTATGTAAATATGTTAAAAGAAAATTGGATTCCTTATATAACCTACGGGGTTTCGTTTTAAAGTTACAGGGTGTTAAATATTAAATAGTTTTTGATTTTACAGATAAAGAAACAAAATTTTCGCTATGGCTATATTTGGTTAGGCTCTAAAAGAATTAAAAAAATTGACCTTGCAGATTACTCAGTGGTGCACATACGGATATTTCCGTACGGTTTTATTTAAAAAAATATGGTACGCCGCCGATAAAAATATGTTTTTTTATTATTCTTAAAATGGGCATTTCATTTTAAACAACATTTTTTCGTATTTTCTGTGCATCTCTTTCCGTTTTAGGTAATAAAACCTTTTGTTAATAGAGGAAAGTCGCCTAATTTCAGATACCTTTTCAAAATAATCAAAATTATTTAGATAAAATATTTTTTAATGCTTTATCTATTGGCCAATTGGATAGTGCACAAATTTTAATATAAAAACATTTTTATTACAAAAGATGTTTAGAAAAAATGAGGTTTTTGTAGATATTAATTGCACATTTAAAATTGGGCTCCCAATTTCGGACACCCTATCCGAAATTTAAAAAAACTTTATACTTTTTGCGTTAAGTTTTTTTTAATAAAATCATTGAAAAAATTTCGTAGTTTTGACAAATACAGTGTCTTAACAAACATTTACCTTGTCCAGGTAAAAAATACATTTTTACAACGAATATTTTTTTTAAAATACCGCCTAAACTATGACAAAAAAAAACTACGAAACGTGGTTTCGATGTTTACCACTTCTATCTAATGGAGAGTGATTAGTATCATCTAAATAACACTGGATATGCTTGCTTGGACTTTTTAGATTGCATTAGAGTCAATTTCCGTTTAATGATTTGATTAGTTTCAAAGATACACCACTATCCGAAATTAGGCGCCTACTTGAAATTAGGCGACTTTCCTCTACACATGTACAAGTAAATAAAGGTTTTAAAAACATACCATAATCATGGTATTAAGCATTACCAAATAAAAAAATGGCTAAAATTTCGTTTAAAAGTTTTTAAAAGAATTTGAAAATTTTTAACACCCTGTAACTTGGAAACGAAGACTCAAAGAGCATAACTTTATGTTACTAAGGAATCCACTGTTAAATTTTCTCCCAACATATCCAAAGAACCTATATTTAATATGCGAAATTTAAACAATTTTATGCCAAAAATTAGGGATATTTTTTTGTATTAAAAGTCTGCAAAGACTATCTACTTTTAATATTTTTTAAATTTTGCACTCAATACCTTCGCAAATATATTTTGGATATGTGTGTACCTATTTGTATGGATAAAATATGGTTTTACTTACCCTGTCATATTGATGTGCGGCTCCAAAAGGAGAACTAAATGGTCCAGTTCTGGGAACTGGATGCGCTGATACAGGAGGTGCGGCACCAGCCCTTTGATACAGATAGGGATAGTAAGCTTGATACATTACTTCAGAACAACTCATTATATACATGTACACATTTCAAAAATGTAAACGCACTTTAATGCACTTAATCCTTTAATAAGTTCAACCGAAAGAAAAAGGGTCAACATGTGATAGTGTCACTGTTTTTTAAACATTATAATACCTTGCATATTAGTGTCAAAGTTTTCATTATCATTACATCACTAAAATCACGGCACACTATCAACACAAAACCGGTATCAACACTGACTGAATTACTGAAAATAAAAATTCCTCACCCCAGTATTTTGAGTAAGCGCCGCCCACGTTTGTCCCTTCCAGTAGCTATTCTGAAACCACGCCCTTAGAATGTGATTAAAACATTCCTTAAAGTTCCTCCAATGAAGATCCCTTTGGGTGGTAAACAGACCAATACCGTGGCGGTATTTAATGTGGCATGTTGACTATTTGGTATCAATATAATAGTTGCAAGGGGTTCTTTATGGTGGACATATCAAATCATTTTAACTTGAGTGAATGAGACTTTATTATTTTAGCGTATAAATTAAGTATTTTTCTTACGTTTTAAAAGGCAAAGGCAATTTATTATTTAAAAAAAAACATATGTTAAACCTAATCAATGATTAGTAATCATATATATTTTTTTCAGATCGCAACTAGTGTAGGTAGTGCACATTTAGGTACTATAAAAAATACTATCTGTCTGTTGGCCAGCTGGCCACTAGTGGCGGATCCAAGCAGAAGTGATTCTAGGTGCAAATCATACTGTACCTTTGCATTTAAGACAAACTTTACCTTTTCCTTTTTAAAAATAACACCGGTTTACAGCCAAAATCTACATTCGATGCGACTATTTTTTTCTGATATATTTTGGCCTGCTAAATTCGAAAATTACAATAATATTTTTTTAGTGACAGGGTTTTTCAAATAATTTTTTGTTTTGTTTTTTCGAAGGCAGCTTTACTATTTGGGTCATACACCGAAAAAACAATTTGTTTGAGAGAAACGAAATTGATTTTAGGTAAACTAATCCTGTGGTTGTATATTGCGCAACTAATATAGACTTAAGGCAAGTAATTACTTAGTTTGGTAAAGTTGGTTTCGAACAAACTTATATTAATTTGACGTAAATGCATACATTTCTTTACAAATAGCAGATTATGTTCTAGCAACTAAATATTTATTTCTAATAAATTTTTCATTTCTTTGTATTAAACATGCACCTATTTGGGATAAACGCATGTGCTTTATTGCAACACAACAATAATTTCGTCACAAAAAAGCAACTTGTTATCACGACAGAATTAATTTGCCCAAAACGAAAATTTGATTGTCAGGAATAAGCCCTTTATTTGCAATAAAATTATTTAAATGCAGGAGAGGCTGGTTATTGAAAATCTAAATAAATTCAATAAAACAATTTTATTTTATAATATTTATAACAAAATACAGAGTATAATATATATATCTATATCTATAGAGTATAATAATATTATGTATACATATAAAAATATTTTTAACCAAAAAAATAAAACAAGAATACAAAACAAAATCTTAACTAGCTAACTCATTTTAAACAAAAAATATTCAAAAAGTTATCTCATACTTCAGTAATCATGTACCAACCTATACATAAAATATAAAAAGGTAACAAAAGTCAATAAATTAGTCCTGATTAAAAATAATAATAGTTTTATGTCCTTCTGTAATTGAATGAAATTTACTTAAATATCATTTTATTATAAATGGGATAATTAATTACACGATTAGTTATAGTTAAAAAAATTGTGGCAATATTTTTCGATGGTTACACAAGATATTTTGTCCTTTTTGCCAATTTTTATATAGATACAGGGGGCCTTCCTACTTTTCTTAAAATTATATGGACAAGTGACATTTAAATAAATAAGAACTCACCATTAATAGTTCACTCAACACACACTGCATTTTTATCTGCGTAAAATTATGTACTGCATGTATTTCATACACTTGTTTACTGGTTCGTAACAAAGAAGTTCTTTGGTTCACAATGGCTGCCTTGCGTTTGCTAGCATCCCTACCAAAAAATATTTTAAACAAATAAATATTTGGTAAAAACTGATTTCTTTGTGTCAAAATGATATATTTTAATAATCTTATATTTAATATGATAAGTTGTTTACAACTTAATTTCATTTAAATTAATGGCAAAGTAACAACTAATTGACCAATATTGTCACAGAAAAATGTTCTTATTTCTAACCAATATGCGTAAGTTGTGGCAAATACATAATACAGAAACTAAGACCCATGTTTGTAATGACCAAACTATTTTATCGGTGTACCTATCTCGAGTTTGAAATGGCCAATTGTTTTGCAAAATATGACAAATTAAATTTAAACCTAGTTGACATGTCAACTCCATAGGTAAATGCCCTTAGTGGGCCCAAATATCGAAAAAAAAATCATTTTTTTGGAGAAAACTTAAATTCCTATATTTTTTTACTATTTTACTAAGAAGAAAAAATCATTAAAATACGCCCTTTTTTAAACTTTCTACCTACAAGGATTTTACACTTTTATGATAAAAATAAGGTAATAAATTTTGTTTTATGGATAAATGTCAAAGCTATGACATTTTATGCAGTGGCGGACTAAGGGGGGCGGTGGGGGTGGTCTGCCCCGGGCCCCCGGTTCAGAAGGGCCCCCAAATCTTAAGTAGTCTTTCTCAGTCCAACAAATACGATCTAAAATTTAGGGTTTAAAAATTTCCGGAAAAATATAGGTATAGGTAGGTAGGTATATATTTTAAAAAAAAATTGAATTTTCACCAAAAAATACATTTTTAAGGCCTGTTTTTTTTCTCCAATTTTTTCGGTTTTTTTTTTCGACAGTTTAAAACCCTAATATAGATATAAATATTTCAGGACCCAGCTTTACCATAAAATATAAACTGATTAAAAAAATATACCCCGGAGATTTCAAGTTTCTAAAGAACATGCTATGAAAAATATTTTTAATATTTTGGTTTTGGGAGCCCCTAGCTGCAATCCATCAGGAATTAGGAAAAAGGTTATAATTACACCGAGAAAAATTTGAGATTTATAATTAACCAACGACTGTTTTCACGAATAATATTAATAAATAAATCAACTTGGGTATTATTAACAATAGCGTGTTTGTATAAAGTAAATTAGCATTTACAGATTAACAATAAATATATGGATAGGATTAATGCTAACACAGCGTTTCTTATAAAAAAAAAATATTTATATATTAATAGTTAATCAACATTGCGTTACTGTCAACCTGTAATTGTTTAAAATATTGGAAGTATATAATGCATTTAATTTAAACCATTTTTATTAATAATAAATAAATTTGTTCTCCCCCCAGGCCACTCGCGCAAGCGCAGTTATAGCGGTTCATGTTGCACAGCGGAAGCTTTGTTCTGTCGGCCATTGATAAAAAAGATGCATCTTGTTCTGTGATTTTGTTCTGTGGAAGGTGTGTGGGTGTAATAAAAGCGTGTAATTGCATCAGATGTAGTTTACTTGTTGGGAATCGTATTAAGTAGCTCTCATAAATGGTATACCATCAACAGGTGCAATGCACTAAGAAATAATGGAAGAATTAACGAACTTTTTAAGTGACACAGGTTTGCCCTCCCTACTCTCGGATTTTGTTGGTAAGTAAAGTTATAGCTACTTTATCATTTCATTATGATGGCTTGGCCTAATTTCCTCGATGTTTTGTGCCTAAAGTAATCAAATAAATCCAAATCTTGTTTTCATTGGCTGTCTTTAGCTAGGTATTGCTTGTAATTATTTTTAACATGCGTATATTTATTATTAACACACTGTTTTAAATAGTAATAAAAATGCATACCCAAGCTAGTTAATGTTTAACTTCTTTCTTTTTTATCATATAGAGAACTGCATTGAGGACTTAAGCAGTCTGCAACAATTGGTACTTCACGAGGAGAAAAGTTTCAAGGTGTTATGTCCAATTATTGGACATAGATTAAAAATTAAAATAAATATTTATTTTTTATATTTTTATAAATATATGTATTTTATTATACTTACCTGCTTTTATTTTCCATTTACGTGGGGAGGGGGGGTTCTTTAATACCTATACCTACTAATAAATAATATATAAATTGAGTAAATGCAAATAAAGAAATTTTTTATTTAAAAAGTAATCCTACGTTTAATAATAACATAGTTGGTTCAGTACAAAAATAACATTGGTTAAATATAAATACATAGGGTTATTCCTAAACCATAATCTATTTATATCTTTTTAACAAATGATAGAGTAATATAAAACCAATATTTGTTACGTCGGTTTATCAATCATTTTTTTATTACTAAATAGCCATTTTGGTTATTATTAAACCAACCTTTCTCTCGGTGTACATTAAATAATGGTTAATCTTACACCGAGAAAAATCTGAGATTTATAATTAACCAACGACTGTTTTCACGAATAATATTAATAAATAAATCAACTTGGGTATTATTAACAATAGCGTGTTTGTATAAAGTAAATTAGCATTTACAGATTAACAATAAATATATGGATAGGATTAATGCTAACACAGCGTTTCTTATAAAAAAAAATATTTATATGTTAATAGTTAATCAACATTGCGTTACTGTCAACCTGTAATTGTTTAAAATATCGGAAGTATATAACGCATTTAATTTAAACCATTTTTATTAATAATAAATAAATTTGTTCTCCCCCCAGGCCACTCGCGCAGCGGAAGCTTTGTTTTGTCGGCCATTGATAAAAAAGGTGCATCTTGTTCTGTGATTTTGTTCTGTGGGTGTAATAAAAGCGTGTAATTGCATCAGATGTAGTTTACTTGTTGGGAATCGTATTAAGTAGCTCTCATAAATGGTATACCCTCAACAGGTGCAATGCACTAAGAAATAATGGAAGAATTAACGAACTTTTTAAGTGACATAGGTTTGCCCTCCCTATTCCTGGTTTTTGTTGGTAAGTAAAGTTATAGCTACTTTATCACAGTGGCGGCTGGTGGATTTTATGTGTACCAATATCTCAGTTATTAGACATGGGACCCACACCAAATTTATAATAGTTTATAATGACATTAAATAAACAAGTTCGGCGCAATTAGAATTTAAATTGAAGTTTGCGAAAAAAAATTAGTTTTTCCTTTCGCCTCACCCGCCTCCAGGCCCCCCTATTTAAAAAAAAATTTATAAAATATAAAATTTTAAGTTTGTCGTTAAAATTAGGGTAGATAATAAATTGCACCA